AAGAAAATTTTGCTGGCCGACTAACAATAGAAGAAATTGATGGGCTTATTAGATAATTATATGACAATTTGAAAGGTTTGAAATTATGAGAAAGGCCTACCCATCATAGTGACATTTGACCGAATTCTCGTCATTAGTGACGCCATTGTGTATTTGATATTAGATTTAGGTCAGCATCCTTGACTAAGATGTAAATTGGACATTAAATCGAATTGCATTTTCGGTCGCGTCCATCCCTCCGAGCACTCGGCGTCAAGCCCCCCTCTTGACAGGCATTGCTGCGTCCGGATCTGGAGGCCCCTTTTTAATGGCCCCGGAGGCGGCAGCTCCATAGCCATCTAGGTCTCAACGGCCATAAAGAGTCGCCAGCATAAATGCGACGGAGCATAGATTTATAGATAGAGATAGAAGGGGGGAAGATCGAGAAGGAGGCGGGCCGTGGTGCGGCCTGGACGAGCAGCAGTAGCGCGGCCTACAGGCCGCAAGGCAACTTTGTTCTTGGCGACGATAGAGGGAGGTGCGGGATGGATTGTGGCTAAGGGGGAGAGAGAGGAGAGGAGAGGGAGGGAGCGAGTTAGGTGTAAGGGTTTTGATGGGGATTCAATTGGATTGGATGTACTGAGGAATCAGGATTAGAGTAATTTCTCAAATCCAAAGCCCCAGTTATGCGGATACCCAATTTTTAGTTCTCGAAAATCGCACTAAACGTCTCTCAATATGAGTAGGAAATTACAAACGTTTAACACTCTCGCTAAAGATATATATATATATATATATATAAAAGAAACTTGTGAGATTAGTATATAATCAAGACAAGGATAATTATCTTTGTCTAATAAGATCAAGATCGCAACGAGATCCAGTTTGCGATCCACATAACCATTATTACATTATTGGCCTTGAAACTCAATATTAAAAAAGTCTTTTTCTCTCCCTCTTTCTTCTTCTCTCTCCATTGTCTTCTTCAACCTTCATGGAGGGTTTGAGTTAGTCCGACCCTCCCTTCCCCTTTCTTGTTAAATTTTGATTGTATTTTATTGTTCTTTCTTATTTATTGGGAGCTCTCTTCTCTCTGTCTAATTCTAGATTTGAGAGTTAGAATCCTCTCGATCTATTTTTAGATTTGGAAGCTATCTCTTCTTCCAATCTAGATTTGAGAATTTTTTAAATATACTTTTAGGGATTCAATACTCCTCTCCTTTGTCCATGTACAAGTCCTCTGCATCCATCTTCAATGTTGATTGCAGAAGCTCTGGCGTCTTCTCACTGAACCACGGAAGACGAACCTATGCGCGCATACTATAGTTATTAGAGAATGAATTTCCGGCATGTGCTCATCACCGATGAAGATACAAAATTCAGTGATTGACCGTCAATTATTTTGCTTGACGGATCTGTTCTTATGGAACGAGTGTGTACTTAACCCTTCTGATGCTCTGTTGATCCTCCTTGTTTTCTGGATTTGGCTTTGTTTCACAATATTATGAGTTTTGCTTTGTTTCGATTTGCTTTGCCAATTTTCGTGTATTCATTGGAGCAATGAATACAATTTTTTTTATAAAAAAAAAAAAAACAAGCTTGCTAGATGCTCGTTTCTTCGGTTGACAACTAACGAACATTCCTCCCTGCTTCTAAAGATATAATGCACCAACCTAGGCACCTATTAAATTATTATTTTTCATCTACCAATTTGTATAAAAATTTGAATAGATCGAATGCCGAGTTAATTTCCAATCATTGTTCTTGATCTATATAAATTATTGCTTTCATTCATTAAATATAGGAAAACGCTTTCTTGACGGTTCGTTATTTTCAAGAAGTTGTGGCCTTTTGAAACACTATATTAGCTTCCAGAAGGTCTTATAGTCTTAGGTTATGCTTAATTAAACAAAGATCCTTAACAATCCTGGCCAATACACCTACATACTAATGCAATATTATCATACTTAAAACTGGTAAAGATTAATAATGTGTGACATGTAATTACGATCATGCACATTGTCAAAAATGTCTCATTTTACATCATCGATAAAACATTTCAAGGATAATATGCAACATCATTATTTAATTACATGAACTATAATGTATGAAATCGATTTATATCATTTTACAAAATAGCCATGTTCATCGTCCACACTAACAAGTAACAATGAATCTCGATGCATCTTTTAGGAATTTGTCCTTAAAATTGGAAAAAAGATAGTAATTGAGCTAATGCATTGAAGACAATATCATTTGAAATTATTGGTTCATAAATGAATTAACTCCACTACAAGAATAAGTTTTTTTTTTGGGTAAGAGGAAATTACTAAAAAAGTATAAAATCTGTTGCATTTGTGTCGATTTAATCCCAAACCTTTCAATTGTGCAAATTCAAAACTAAACTTTTCAACGATTTGCCAATTGAATCCTAAACCCTTCAATTGTACCAATTTAATACTAAACATTTTAACGATTTGTCAATTTAGTCATTCTGACCAATTTTGACAGAAAAACAATGATGTGACGGTCTAGTCAATGCTAGCCATCCTATGTGGTAGGACGGCCGACACTTACATGGATAATATTTTGAATTTTTTTAATTTTTTTCTGATTTTTTCTTTTTCTTTTATTTTTCGTTTCCTTTTTTTTCCAACTCTTGGCTAACAAGTTTGCCGTCCATAGGTGAGGGTCGACGACCCTCACCTGGTCTAGGCGAGGGCGTCACGACCCTCGCCTATGGCCAGTGACCTCCGCGCCCTCACCGGCCAAGAGTTGGAAAATAAAGGGTAAGAAAAAAGAATAAATAAAAAAAAATTCAGAAAAAAGTTTTAAAAAATGCAAAAAATTGTTCACATCAGCGTTTTCCGTCCAAAATTGGCCAAAAGTACTAAATTGATAAATCGTAAAAAAGTTTAGAACTAAATTGGCAAATTGAAAGGTTTATGATTAAATTGGTAAAATTGTCAAAAAGTTTAGGACTAAACTGATCAAATTAAAAAAAATTATGACTGAGTTAGCACAAGTACAATAGGTTTAGGACTTTCTTGATAATTTCCCCAAATAATTGCAAGATAATTAATAGCCTGTATGGTAACATGAAGATGAAAATAGATATAAATAAGGGAAAATGCCAAAAGCATACCTCACTTTTGAGTAGCATTTATGATAACAAAACATCCTGGATGTTTTTTTTTTGGTAAGGATAAAAAAAAAACACCCTGGATGTTCATGCATGCATGCATGCATATATATATATATAAGGTCCGTGGTTGGTTTTCCTTTATTAGTCAATATAAATACTCATCCTACTCGTCATTTGAAGGTAGCATTACCTAGGCTACCCGTGAGTCGTCCCTAGTTTTTTTTGCTAGAATGTATAAATATCAAATGTTAAGTCACAACATCAATAAAATATTTCAATTTTTAAAACAGTTTATAATGATTCCTCGAAATTTTCATGGTATGGTATGGGATGCGGAGGCCACATATCTATTCGCAGACTTTATTTCTTAGGTTTTGATTCTAGCTTGTCCTTGAGAGGGATGTTATACTATTTATATAGAAAAATAACTACATGTAATCGGACGGCTAAATTGTACTATTTTAGAACAGTTTGTACGAATTCCACAAAATTTTCTTTTCTAAAAAATGACACTTGGCTTATCTCACAGGGGTGTAAATGTGTCATCTATGGACGAAATTTCTACCTTGATATCAAATTCAAGTTTGGCTATTCCCTGTGTGTCGTTCTTCATCCATTACAGACGCAAGAGGGTGAGCTAAAATATTGTAGGTGACTTTGTTTACAAAATCACGAGAAAATACGATAAATAATCGTGGGGTCGATAAAACCTATAAGAGTTGTTTATAATAAAAAATTCTTAGTTAAAACAAGGAAATAAAAAACCATCACATCGGGACAAAAAATGCCGCCTCGTCGATTTGAAAAGTAAACTTGGTGGACCGGATGAGATCCATTTGAAAATCTATATGAAGTTGGAGCGGTTGTTGGGCTAAAAGAAAATAAGGCATGTTAGGAGGAAAATAATAATATACGGGAGACCTGACCAAGACATTTTGCTTCCCCTCTTCCTCCGTCTGACGAAATGCACTCCCTTTGATATCACTTTGAACCCCGGTCAGTCGGGATTAGGGTCACCAGTGTTTTGCCTGTAAGCTGTCCCTCTCTTTCTCTATTTCTGTTCTACGCATCGATTGCTTCGTTTAGTGTATGCTCATGTTATGCATCTTGCTTTGCTTTTTATGTGGGAGTTTCTCTTGTTCATGTTAATTGAGAATGCCTCTGTATCTGCTGATCGCTTTGCATCTAAAACATTCAGTGAGTTATAAGGCAAATCTATACGCATGTTGAGTAGTTAATGATGTTACTCTCGCGATTATATGCAGGAATAAAGATGAGATCCTCTCAATTGCTCCACTCAATTTTACCTTGAAAAATAGATTCTTCTTTTTTGGCCAAAATACCTTTATAAATAGATAACTAACTAGTCGGCTTTTGTGAGTGACTTTGCTGACTAGGCTGCGTACCTAATGACTGCTTCTATGACAGCATAGGATCGTTAATGCTCTCCCTACTCAGTTCATCCGTGTACTGGTATAGACATTTTTCACCGTAGCACAAGCATAGTAGAGGTTTCCGCTGGGTTTTGTAGTTGTCTTTTCTTCTCTCTTTACGTAAAGTAGATTGCAATTCTCAGAAGTTTGCAATTCTCAGAAGTTAGCCTCATCATTCTAACACTGATATGCAAAATTGATCTATGGTGTCGCAGACTCTTACTCAATATTAAATGTAATCCACTTGTCCAAGTGCCCAGTTATAGTCTATAATAGTGCTTAGAATATCAATTTTCTAAACTAGGGTAAGTATTCATAGGAATATCGCTCTTTATTCCAAAGGATGCTAAGTTTCTTGTAGGTTGAAGAGGTTCGAGTTCAAAAGCATAGAGCATGGCCAAGGTACAACAAGTAACAAGGAGCCAAATCGCTCACAGGAGCCATGGTGTTCAAGTCTCCTGTATTTCTGTAAAACTTCATAAGCAGTTCAAGTATGCAGCAGATCACAGTTGCAGCTCAAGATTCCAAAGCCGTCTTTATAATACTATCAACAAAATTCCAGAATGCAGTCTCTCACACGTCGTTCAACGTATGTTTGTGTGTTTAAAAAATACTAGCACGTTATTTCGATCTTCATAGCAACGTTCTTTAATGAACATGTAATGCTCACTTTGGAAGTGCTGTAATCACCTGGGATAGTGCATTGATGCTCAGAGAAATGTAGCCCGCTACCTGGCTTGCAGGCAACCACAGTTCCTTCGTTGAATACCCTTAGATCATGCGGGCAGCTCTCCAACTGCGCTTTGCAGCTTGCAGACGGGCAGTCACAGCCAGCACACATGGGACTAACTGTAAGTCCAACATTATACCCCATATCTGTGGACATAGTATAACTGTCACCAGAAATGCCAAGACCTGTTGCAACCGGACTGTCCTCTGCAGTACAATCTCTTCCTTTGCAGTTACCAGTGGTGCAATTGCGAGTGCCCAATCCATCTGAAATGCATCCAGTACTGAAAATGGCAATGCCCGACCAACCATCAGGCAAAGGGACTGACAGTTCATGATTTGGACCAATTGCACTAAGACTGGTGCTATTGTTAATTTTTGTCGACCCATCCGCGGGAATCAGCGATGGAAATATCGGTATCGAGCAAGTATTTTCAAAGACTAGCGTAGAACTCGCTGAAGCAACAACATTGCGTCCTCCTGCTTGTCCAGATCACAAATTAAAAAACAGATAAAGTGAAGTTAGCACTATGAGATCACACATTCGATCAGGCATTCCTAAACAGATCATCTAAAATTAGGGTGCTGTCAGATGGGGAAAAAAAAGCCTCACCCAGATGACAGTAGTGAACTATCGCAAACTCAGAATAACTAGACATGTCAACATTCTGCTTGATGCGCAGATATAACTGAAATCTAAAACAGCATATCTACAAAGCTATTGAGAACTGTGAGTACAATCTCTGGAGGATATGGTGACGTCGCATCTGACTGAAACAGTAATAATTCAGTGTCATATCCTCACATCAAGCACCTCAGAAAGAAGATATATAGCTGGGATCCAGGAACAGCTTGCAGAAGCTGATTTCAGTTCTGGTGTTCCCATGACCTTTTTCCCATTATCAATCTTTCTCTGTCGTTGCTATTTGGTAAGGAATCTACTTTGGACATTCATAATTTATATATAGCGTCTCTAAAAAAGAAGACGAAACGACCAATTGGACACTTATGCTAGGCCACAGGACAACCACATTCTTTAATAGAGTGTTAGTATTGCTGGAGAGTCAATAAAAGAAAAATGATGCAGATGACACATGCTACTTATTCAATGTTTGAAATTGAACTTTGATGTGGAGGAAAAATCTTCTATTTTAACCAACAGCCAATGGGATCACAATGCGAATTGCAACATAGTCAAAGCAGAGGTTTCAGCTAAATGATTTATTGATCATCGCAAAGACTCTAGGACATGTATGATGTTTTCAATACATAAATGATATATTGCCACCCCTTTGGTGCCCATGCTGTTTTTTTCTATCTGAAAATTGGTCGCAAAGGACAATAACAGTTCATTACTAACACTCAATTTCGCCACTCAATCGGGATCTATCAATGGGATCACCTCATGACAAAGCGATTACAGAACTAAAAGGAATGAAAAAAAGTGGTCCAATTCCAGGTAGTTTCCCAAATGGTATCGGGATTAAATCCAGTGAGAACATTGAAAGCCTCCTTTTTCCCCTAGATTAACCGGAAAAACTACATAAGAGGAAGACGGTTCGCAAATCAGAGTCTCACCAAGTAAGGCTAGTAAAACCAATGATTTGACTCGCTGATGCTTTCCTTCTCCAATAGCCATCTGAAAATTTTTCATGAGTTACAGAAACAACGGTAAGGCCACAATTTTTTTAAATTGCCAAACAGAGCAAATAATGATGAGATGATACCCTTATAATGGATTAATTTGTTCAAGAATCTATTAGGTACCCCACGAGAATAATTATCTCACTAATCAGGTACCAGTTATGTTTCGTTTTCACAAAATATCTGTGTCCTTAATAGCAGTTCTGATTTGTATGATCAAGTAAACATTTTCAAATCCACATTGAGATACCTTAATAGTATAATAAAAATATAAAGGTAGCATTGTCAGTGTAAAGAGAACTTAAAAGTATGATCTTCAATACCTTATATCAAAGTCAGCAGGCTGTGGATCTTTTGGTTAAGAAAACAATTGAGGTGTCATTTGGTTAGATACCCCAAAGTTATAATTCTTCAAAAAATTTAGGCACTTTTTATTCCTTAGAACTCACAGTTTTATGTTTTCACTTCCATTTGAGAACAAAAACCAAGAAACGCTTTGACAACGCTTGGAAATTAATTCGTAAACGATAATAAGGTAATTGTTTTCCAAGTTAAAGTTACTGAAAATAAATTGTTGATATTTCCAGTCTTCTCCTTTTCAAACGAAACACATAGTGAATACCAAGGAAAAGACTCTTTCATAAATTATAGTGGAATAAAGAATATGAGACATTTGGTTTGTATTTTCACTTACCATAGATATTCTCTCATAAACAAAAATGGAAACTGAAATTCTTTCCTCAAATCAAATAACTCCAAAGTTTCTTCATCAGGGAAAAAAGGTATGCTGATGACAGGAACAAAGAGATGACAACCACTTACTATCTAAAGGAGTTAAGAGAGTCTTACGATGTCTATTGATCAAGTATAGAAACCAAGCCATCTATTCCATTGTTTATCAAAGCACAAGTGAAGATTTTATTGTTTCAAACATCGTTCTGGAAGACCAAGGTCAGTAGCGGGCCTAACGGCCCACTTAGTCAGGAAAAAGTAAAAATAATCATCTGATCTTTATTTGACTTGTGAAGAAAGGAGTTACTAATGATGGAACATAGTGACATGGTCAATACTTGAATAACATTTAAAAATTGGTACAATGAAGAAGAGTTAACTTTTGGCATGACCTTGAAAATATCTAAAGGTGCCTTTTAGTGAACGAAGACTACTTTTTTTCCGATTAAATAGAGAAGGCGGAGCGAAATCAAGGCAAGAGACTATTTCCTAAGGAGAATTTTCCATAATTGGGAAGGGGAATGCTAAAGAGTTCAAACCTTGAAACTTAAGATGGGTTGTAAAAGGCCGGTGCAGGCCGTCGTCATGTCGACGCGACGGAGCAGAGAGACGCCTCGTCGCCGGCTATAAAAGCCAGAGAGAAAGAGAGAGAAGGGTCGGCCAATTCAGAGAGAGAATTCAGAGAGAGAAACAGGGAGAGAAACAGAGAGAGACCGAGAGAAACAGAGAGAGAATAAAGAGAAAAGACAGAGAAAGAGGACAGGTTTGTGTGTTTTGCAGGTCCTATTAGCCTCGTCATCGCCCACAGAGCAGCCGGAAGCCCCTCAGAATCGTCGCCAACTGGTGAGTCCTCACGGCCAAGACACCCCCTGTTTTCCCCTGTTTTTGGCTCGGTTTGGCCGGGACTCGCGCCGGCCGTTTCGCGCGAATCCCGGCCCATACCGTCGTCCCACACGATCTGTGTGTCACCGTCGAAGGTAGGGTAAGTCGTCGAAGTGCGCCGGATCCCCGAGGTAGGTTGAAAATCGTTTATTTCGGTCACGCATGCCATCTGTTTGACAAAATGCCTCAAAGAGGCCGGTTTTTAATTTGGTCGCCGGCCGACGAACGGCAGTCGAACGCCGACCCAGGTGCGGGGCGAGGCTTGGTGGTGTTCCCAGAAGCCAATTTTAGGCCGGTGTCGATCTGGGTTGGCCGGCGAGAGACCGATTTTCGTTTCTCCGGCGTCCGCGCCTGTGGGATCGGCCTGACCCGGTTCAGCTGACCCGACCCGGGTCAACGCCCGGGGTCGGATCCGTTGACCCGGGTCGGTCCGATCGACCCAGTTCAGCTGACCCGACCCGGGTCAACGCCCTGGGTCGGATCCGTTGACCCGGGTCGGTCCGACCGACCCGGGTCAACCCCCTGGGTCGGATCCGTTGACCTGGGTCGGATCGAACCGATCGGATCCGCGACCCGACCCGGTTTTATTTTACTTTTTTTAAAAAATTTTAAAAATAAAAAAATTTTAATTTTTTTTTCTTCTTCTTTCTTCTTTCTTTCTTTTCTTTTCTTTCTCCTTCCGTATTATTATTTTTTTTTTTTTCGAAAAAAAAAATCAATTTTTTTTTTAAAAAAAGAAAAGATCTTTTTTTAAAAATTTTGTGGTATATGTAAATATTTTAATTTATTGTTGTATTATTATATATGTTATTGTCTTATTTAAATCAGACAAGCCTATATGATTATGCGGTGTTTTTGCATGTTATTTTTATTACCGTTGTGTTATTATGCATGTTTTTAATACAATTGCATGAATTGTTGTGTTTTGAATTTCATCTGACTTAATTAGGATTAGAACCTAAGGCTGCATGTCTATCTTGACTGCTGATCGTTTATGATTATGCACTCGTTTGATCACCTCACATGTTAGGAGAAAGGTCCTAAAATCAATCCAAATTGCCTGACAAACGTTTTCAAAAATTAACAGGGTAAAAAGGTACCGAAAGGGCATTAGTTATCCAACTAGTGTAACCAAGTCTCCGAACTCAGTTAATCTCTGGTTCGTAGGAATAGGGTGATTCTCCCATCACCTTATTTAGGTTTCTAATCGACCCACCCCAAATCGATTAGTGGCGACTCCTTGATATAAACCACTTGCATGTTAAAAACTTAAACCCTAAGTCGCGATATGGTATGGGCTTGGGAGAGCCCGAGTTAAGTCCCGAACCTAGACTTAGCGCGTACCAAGCGAAACCCCCTTTTTAGCATGTATCGATAAAAAGCGGGAAGTCGGTCGTGACAATGCCCCCTCCCACTTTTTTCATTTTTATACATAGAACCTTAGTGTTGTGGTATTGAAGTACATTTTAATAGGGGCGTCAATGATTCGGTTTAGTTCAGTTTTTTGTGGAATCCGAACCGAAACGAACCATTAGGGTGAGTGTTCGAACCGAACTGAAATGAGAACCGAACCGAATATGGTCCGAACCGAAAATCCGGTGATCGATTTTCAGAAATTATAACACTTAAATGATCTCTTTAAAAGTTACGGTATCAAAGTGAGCGCCTATAAAAAGTGTGACACTGTTAATGTCCTTTTTCCCAGAATTTACATCAAGGGAAAACAACCACTTGCAAAATGGTTTTGCCCTTTCTTCCTTCTTTTCTTTCATATTATTATAACTGCATGATAATTATTATGATCCCTCTTTGGCACTAAGCTTTTCCTTTTCTCTCGACAAAGTTATCCCAAAAGTACTGTATCTCCCCAAGAACGGATTGCAATAGAACCTTTCATGGCAAGACTTCTTCTCACTAATCTATACATGAATGCATTTAATGAGATTTCAATAATTAGGATAATTTTTTCTCGACAAGTACAGGTAATTTGTTTTTGACAAGAAAATTTCAATAGTTAGGGAAATTTTTTTCTCAATAAGTGTGGGTAATTTGTTTTTAATGAGTTAAATTTCAATATTTAGGGTGATTGATACTATTTATTAACCAACTTTCACAAATATCATAACATAGCAATGCTTTACATGTCAAAGAGAGCACTCAAAAAAGGAAAATGCTTATGCATTTTTCAGTGTATAAATATGGAAAGATCGGAAGAATACCTCTTCCTTTTGCTTGCGACTGCCACATTTGTGACCGTTCGAAGGGGGTGGAGCAGCCTTTTTCATCTTGGGATCCTACAGACAAAAAGAACAATCTTAGATATAATTTACAAAGTTCAGACAGATCATATATATCAGAATAAGAACAAAGAGACATTGCACAACTTCTGAAGAAACAAGATTATACATGAAATTCAAGCTAAGATTATCGAGTGCACAGATCAAGCTCCATCAAGTCCAATCAGTAATAGGGGTTCAGAGTGTTGAAGTCTAGGCAGCACAAAAAAGGACTCTAGGGCCTTTCGAGTCCTCGGAGTTTGCAATATCCTCAAATATCAAACATGACAAATCTAGTATCACAAGTGGAACATCGGCACTTAAAATTTCTTCACATCCCTGGTAAAAGAGATCGTGCATTAGATATTGAGATAATGACAATAGACTTGTACCCCAAATGGATACAGCCTTTGAAACTTTCTAACTATATAATAACTCATGATTGCTCATATAACCATCAACAGAAGTTCGACAAAGATGACCAAGAGGATTCTTATTTGACATTTAAACTTTGTGAAGAAAGAAATAGATGTTAAAAGTGAATATGACAGACAAGTTCAACCCAATCAAATGCAAAAGTTATCAGCTGAAGAATGAGCTACAAATACCAACAAGCTACGAAAGAACATTGAACGAACTTTATTTTGGTTTTATGGTAAGTAGAAGAACACTGGATAAACAAAAGACAAAGCATGAATGTATTTGATGTATTACCCGTCCTAAAATATTAGTGAAATGAAAGCATAATGAAACACTTCAAGATAAGCATGCATCTTGTCAAATCTACTTACTAATCAGATGCTTTTAGCTGCTTTTTTGACAGTACAAAGTCATTCAGAGGCAGCAAGATGGCTAACTAATGTTTCCAAATAATTTTCAATCCATAACACTAATACCATAATCCAAGTTTTAATCAACTTGATGGGGAAAAATAAGGATGCGATAAATGTTGCTGCAAAGAAAAGCTTGCCCATCATGTCCTAGCTACTGAAAATATCCCCCAAGGTAAAAAGCATGATGATAGTATCAAGTACAGAACTCTTGAGGAAAAAAATAAAACTGAAACATGCAATGCACCTGTAAGTAATCTCGAGAAAAACGCATTTAATTATTAATTTATCGGGAAAATTGTGCATGAAGCTGGTTGTGTGAATGTGTTCTGTATTAACTCAAAAAAGTTTCATTTCTTTCAAGTTTCAATAATTTCACCAAATTCCCTCTTTACCTGTCTTTCCACAATGTGCTGTTATCCAAAAACTGTGTCTGAGTTTACCTTTTACCTGAAAATAGTCAACTTCTTGCTGAACGCAAATTCTACTATGCAATTTCGACCAAAAAAAAGACATCTATGATGCAATGAATTATTAAGTTGTGCGAAAAAGCATCTTCTGCTAGCATGGCACTTTTTTCCAGACTTGAAAATGACGGTTAACTTGTTAATCAACACTAGAAAAGCCAACATTCTTTGGTATTCCAGTAACAACGAGTCTGTATAACAAGCGCAGCACTGATTTCCCATATAGGTTTACCTGGTGGGCTGCAGCGACTCTTCTGAAGTAGGCGATGGGGCCCACGGGGAATCTCCTGTGGACGAGACCATCATGGACGAACGTGTACGCCATCCTGAACACCGTGATCCCGAGGCCCTGATTTATCGATCGAGCGAAGTCAGAGGGGTCAAAACATCGGCGAATAATCCCCAAATCATAAAAAGAAATCCCAACTGATGACAACGACGGTAATTAATAAGCGATAATTAAACAGTTAGAAGAAGGAGGAGTTAGGTGAGATTCCGGCACTTACAGCACCGAAGCGGAGTCCGGGAACGACGAGGCCCTTGTGGAAGAAGCCGTAGGAGAGAAGAGCGATCGCGGGAACGGCGTTGATTATGGCGAAAACGTCGTCGAGCTCGCCGCCTCTCGGCCGATTGTCAGGCTGCATTCAATTGAATTACCATCGAAACTTGGATCAATTTCTTTCGGCAAAGGAGCGAGCAAGAGAGAGAGAAACAGAGACAGAGACAGAGAGAGAGACAGAGAGAGAGAGAGAGAGAGAGAGAGGGACCTCGTGCATGGGCCACGGAGACGCATGCCAGAGAGCTCTGTGAGCCCATCTTGCCCAGAACACCATGACCACCTGCAAGTCAGAATGCAAGAAGCTCAGTTCTCGATTTCAGCACCGAAAACATTAATCAAGAATCTCAACTTTTTACTTCCTCGTCATGCTTTACGAACCCAGAAGCAGATTTTCAATTCTTGTTTCTTTAAAGCTGAATATGAAACTTACAGCGGCGCCCACAGAGAGAGCGAATGCACCGAACATCTCAGACAAAGGCACCTGCCCTCCCTGCAAAATTAAAGCGGGAAGAAAAGGCCAAGCTTGCATTAGAATCGATTTCTATGGAAAAGGAGAGAAATGAAGAAAAGGATCGGATTCACGGTTTTTTGCCTCCATTTGCCACGCGAATCTGTAAGAAACAGCCATGACGGCCATGACGGTCACGAACGTAATCCCGAAGCCGGACATCGCGGCGGCGGCGGCGGCGAGGTAGGTGAACCGCACCGACCACTCCCGCACCAATCTCTCGGCGGCGCGCGAGGCCGGTGTCTGATCGGGCCCCGCGTGCAGTTTCTGGAGAGCGAGGGAGCGAAGGAATGAGAAGAGTGAGGGAGGCAGGTGGGTTGCGCGAGAGGAGGAGGTTGGAGCTTCTGATGGGTTGGGGGATTGCGGCGGCGACGGCGACGGCGGAGGACAGGCCTGCCCACGATCTTCGAGCTGTGCGCGCGTTGGATTGAGACAGAGAGAGGGGGGGGGGGGCGAAGTGGTGGACTAAGGAAGAGCGTGGGAACTGGCGCTGTTATCGAATGCACCGAGACCACAATCTTCTCTTATCGACCAAAGAGCAGACAAATGCCTGCTTGGTATTTAAAAATGCTATCCAGAATTCGAAGAAATGGGACGGTAAAGTAGACAAATGCCTCCTCCCTTCGTTCTGAACTGCTGAGATGAGACGGCAACCATGCGTTTCTTATTTTATTTTAACGACCCGCATGTCCGAGTTCCGAATTCTTTCGTACGTAAGACAATCGAAAAAGGTTAATTTATGGACCACCTTAAGGATTCTCCATCTAATACAGAATGTTTGGCTCGAGCAAGAGCTACTCAATCCGTCCGGAATTCCAGAACTCGAGGTCGATAGTACATCTCAACCAAAGCGAGTAGTGCTCCTCTCTTGGTGGGCAGGCGAGACCTCGACCGGGTTTTCGGGAGACCCTAGCGCAGATCGCCTACCAACACATGCTGACGGGTGTTTACATGTTTATTTTCGGATACAGTGACACCCTCCCCCCTCTCTCTTTCTCAATTTTTTGATCTTGCACCGTGTTTGTAAATTTCCGTTCATTTAACTAGGTAAAATTGTCAATTTAACAATGTCCGCAATCCTAATGATTGGATAATTTGATTGTACAAATACTAACGAAAGGGTCAAAGATTTGCCTGTACAATAAGAACGAGCAGTGCATCAAATCGCGTAAGATGGATGGAAACGGGACCGGAGAGGAAACGATGAATAGAAAGGGAAAAAGTCAAAAAGATGGGGCGGGTAGGTTCGTGAATTTGTCGGGGACGAAGAGGAGGCGCGAGCGGGGTGGGGGGTTCCCCGTGTGGGAAGCGGACCGCGAATCGCGTTGCACCTGGTTTTAGGCAAACCAAGGGTTTCAATCATACTTCGATCCTCAAACTCCGTTGGGGACTAAGACGGGGGCAAATTAGGAAAAATTTCAATTAAAGACTAGAAGCGTCTTAATTTTTTCAAATAATGATTTGAAGCGGACTTTATTTCAAATAATGATATGAAGTATCCTCATTTTATCAAATAATGGCATGAAGTGGCCATATCAGTATCTAAAAAGAGCCTGACCTTGCCGGCTGAAGGGTATTTTCCCTCTTCCCTCTGCCGGTCATCGTCAGGCCTCGTCGATGTCCAACAGAGATCGCCGGACTCAAGCAAGGGCCACCCTCACCGGCGTTGGGCAAGGGTTGCCCTCGCCCTCATCAGCCCAGGCAAGGGTGGCTCTCACTCGCTAGGTGAGGGCAACCCTTGCCTAACACCGCCCTTGCCAGATTTAGCGAGGGACGGAGGGAAAAAAGAAAAGAAAAGAAAAGAAACATCAAAAAATTTTAAAAAACATATACTTAGAATTCGCCGTAGTCACATGTTGGCCGGCTAGCCAGAAATCCTTATTTGAGACCATTTGGCCACTCAAGCCCTTATTTGAGAAAATGAGGACATTTTATGTCCTTATTTGAAATTTTCACAGCAGATTAAGAGTTCGAGTCCTTGAGGGAAAATATCTTCGAAATCCAATTTTGGGAACGTGAGGTTAAGGCATCAACGTCTCAGTTACGGAAGGCAATGATGGACACCAGAGAAATACTCAAACTGGGCACTCTTTATCAGGTAGGGAATGGTAAGTCAATTGAGGTCGGTAATCACCCTTGGATTCCACCCATACCAAATCATCCACCTTCTTTTATTGATCCCGATCCTATTTTAAAGCAAAGAACTTAGCAAGCTTCTTTATCCCGATGAAAAGTACATGGGATGTCAACGGTCTAACTCAGATGTTTTACCCAACCTCAATCCGAGCCATTCTTCATATTCATGTTCCAACATCCATTTGGGTGGATAAAATGATCTAGCAGCCAGCTATAGATGGAATTTTTACGGCTAAATCCGCTTATAAGCTCATCAAGTCATGTACAAAGAATGGCCCTAACTCTGGATTCGGAACAACATTTGGAAAGCTAGAGTTCATGAGAGGCACAAGACGATGTTTTGGAGGACAACGGCTAATGTTTTGCCCTGTAGAGCTGACCTGGGTAAGTTATTTCACATTCCAAATCCTTCCTACCTGTTGTGTGGCAAGTCATAAGAAACTTCAGTCCATCTATTCACAACATGCCCTTTGGCCTAGATTTTATGAAGACAGAGTCCATGGGATATCATCTAATATGCTCGAAACTTCACATCACCATAGGATCATTTCCTTTACCTCGGGTATAGAAAGTGGACTTCGATTGCAAACTCTTCACCATTTATGCAGCGATTCTATGTACTAGAATGTGGTGTCATAGGAATGTCATATTACATAATCAAGCTATTCCAAATTCTTTCCAGGCAATTAAGTTGGTTTTATATGAGTTCATGGAATTTTCAGACAAGTTCGGGGAAGAGAACACAGTCGCAACAAGTTCAGGAGTCGGTTCTATTGAGGAATGGATAGACTCATGGCTCCTATCAGATCGAGGGCTGAAATTTAATGTAGATGGTGTGTGGAAAGATAACAAAGGAGCCATAGGTACCATTGCACGATTGGCCAGCAGCTCAATAGTCCAAGCTTGGACAAGGAAAGGATGTTAGAACTCGCCGATGGAAGTGGAAGGAGCGACTCTCCTTCTTGCCTGCAGTTATGCTCAATCCCTTGGCATCCTAAAAGAGATTTTTGAAAGCAATTACAAGGTCTTAATTGATATCATCAAATAAAAGGGTCTTTGCCCTTGGAGTATTCAGCCTTTTTCTTGCAGATTTAGCTTCCTACTTCAACACAATTCAGGTTGGAGCTTGGCTTGAACCCGTAGACCCAATAATGGAGCTGTTCATGCACTTCTTTTAATCAAATAGGCACAACATCCTCTTTTCTTTTCCACAGTCTCCCGTCTAGAGTTAAAAATATTGTATTATTAGAATCTTCTTTTATTTATCATTCTAATGTAAGCATTGTATCCAATTTGTAATGTTTTGTTTGAAATGAAAAGTACATTTCTAGAACAAAAAAAAAGGAGAATTGACTTTAGGCCGAAAAATACTTGCTTTCCTGGAACCTCTTTTAAATTATTAGATTAAGTCATAAACTCAAAAGAAAGGAAAGACGGTTCCGCACTTCCTATGGTATTTCAGTAATAGGTGCGTTCTTGCATCTTTAGCTAATTCAACTAGTTCATTGATCCGACTCTTGTTTTTTTTTTTTTTGATAACCGAGGTGTCCGCGCGGCCGGCGAGTTAGGTCTCAAACCAGCGGTGGACTCTTGTTTTGTTAACTGGTGTATAAGATCAAAAAGTAATCATGTAAACTATTCACCACGAAAAAGTTATAAAATGAAACCTTTACTTTGGCGAACAGTTGACTCTAGTCAAACAGGCTTATAAACATATCTCGTTGTAATATTAACAATCACGGAAGCTAACCCTGATCTTGCAATTTATGCCAATGTGAAAATCGTCGGAAAAATAAGCGATGAACAATAAAAGATACCTAATATTTACGTGGTTCGGTCTGACGTATCTATATCCATGGGGAGAGCTAACGGCACATAATCCACTATTAATCGAAGAATCAAAATTTACAATCGTTCATTCGCATACTCGAATGTTTTACATACATAAATCAAATCCAAACTCCAAGTGTTTATAAATAAATAACTCATTTGAACGTAAAATTCACTACACAAGTCACCGTGTTCACGTTCGTGCGGCCGAAAAAACGAGACCCTCTAGATGACAGCTTCGTGCGGGCCCTTTGTAAAACGGCAAAAGAGGACGAGTCCCGTGCGGCTATAATTCAAGAGACAAGGACAGGCTACGGGCCAACAGAACACATGGAAATGCATTTATGCTGCTGAGTATTATCTCCGTTCAAATTTTTTATTTGTAAATACTTAAGATTTGAATGTAATCTAAATCGTAAATTTTGATTCTTCGATTATCAATGAATTATGTATCGCCGGCTCTCCCCGTAAATATAAGTACCGATACGTCAGATCGAATCACGTAAATCTTGAGCGTTTGTTATCGTTCGTAATTTATTTCTCTGGCGATTTTCGCATTAATTTAATTTGCAAGATCCAGGTTAGCTTTTGCGTTCGTTAATATTACAACAGGGACTAATGGATCTACTGCGAGAGCGAAACAAAGGAGAAGGAGCTTAGCAGCTAATCTGTAAAATTCTGGATTAAGCAATCCCCATCTCTTTATTTATTAAAATATGTCTCGAATTTGAACCCGTTGAATGAAATCCGACTCAAGATTTATTAAAGGAACATCCGAAATTGATTATATGCAGACGTTTGCCGTGGAAATATAGAATTCTCGTTTGACGATGGAACAGAAAAGCAGAAAGAAAGAAAATATTCTTTCCTCTTTCCTGATGAAGTCACCGACCAAAGTTTCCTACCTAGATTATCCGTGTATATATAAGTCAAAGGTCAAGAATGGAAAGCGTATTTTTTCAAAAAGTGTCCTTTTTCCGTGGTGGCATTCTGTTCCAAGTGGAAAAGGTTGACCGTGTAGACCCACTAATGAATGTGGGCTGCTCTTCCTTTCTTTCGTTGGAACATAGGGTGTGTTATGGTTGTCACGAGAAGATTCTCCGAAGCGCTGCTAACGTGAGTGCTTGATGTTCCGTGGCTGTGGCGGTGCTGGTCTTCGTGCAGTGAAGTCTTTCTTCGAAAAAATTACATTCAAGAATTCAAGTATTTTTAGCGAGTAAATCTTGTAATAAGATTTGTGTATAATTCCCTCATGAGATTGAGAGATTATTTCGTGAAGAATTATGAGATTAAATATTGTTTGAGTTATTAGGTGTAATTGGGGCTTGGAAAACATCGAGAGTGTTTGAGTGACTTGAGCGTAGTTGTAATTTTCGCTGTATCGCTTGATCTATAGTGAAATTCCGTGTAGCTCTCCCCGTGGACATAAGTCACTACGATCGAACCACGTAAATCTGATGCCCGATTTATTTTCTTATTTTTGTCAATTTTATTGTTCGATCGCTTGGCTTCCGCAACATTACAAGTGGAGCTACTTCAGAATTCATTACTATAGCAATCTTAGACGATCTGGGTGAAGCATCAAGCGTTTAATCCATTTCATTACAAGTATGCCAAGAAAGGCAGGTTGAGACTTGTCAACGGAAATAACACACACACACACACAGCAATAATCAACAAGATCATCGAATCCATCGCCTCTCAAAAGCCGATAGACCAAGATCATCCGATCCATCTCCTCTCAAAAGCCAATAGACCGCAAGCGCTTGATTTACCTCGGCATCCGGCAAGACTTTCAAGGCAACCAATGCCTTTTTCCCGATGCGCCGTCATAGTAACAGCGCCTTGCCTTTCAGCCGCGCAATCACCGTGTCCGATTTGTTGGAGAAGGTCATCGTAGTACACAATGACGTGATCCCAGCCTCACGGAGCTGCAATCGAAATCGTAAGAATCCAGATGAGAATCAAAGGCAGGCAGTGCGAGGAAATGCAAGATCATACCTGAGCAGTTTCGCAAGCGAAGGCGAAAAAGGAAAAGATGAGGGCGAGCGAGCGAGAGCGAGAGCGAGGAAGACGAGCTTTTGTCATCTCTTCTGAATTTACACTGTTCTTTTAATCTCGCGCCTTTTTTTAATTCTTGGGTTGGTGAGTTGAGTTTCTCTTCTTTTCTTTTCTTTTTTCTACTTTTTGTTTACTTCTTTTCTCTCTTCGCTTTCTTCAATTTCACCTACCTATCTTTTGAGCATCGAATTTTCAATCATTTATTTTTGGGTTAATACCACAAAAAAACCCCACACTGGTACACCTATGACAAATTTACCCTTAATTAATTTTTTGATCATCAAAAATTCCAAACTGGTATATCCATGATAAATTTACCGAAAACTAATTTTTTGAACACAAAAAATCTTAAACTGGTGCACTTGTGATGAATTTACCTTCCGTTAAATTGAATTAATGCCACGAAAATTCACAAACCGGTACACATGTGACAAATGGAGGGTAAAACCCTAAACTAGTATACCCGTCAACTCCCACGTGTCATCCAACTCAGCAATTTGACCATAAAATTAAATGAAAAATAACATTGGATGAATTTATCATAGGTATAACAGTTTGGGTTTTTTGTGGTAAAAAAATTAGTATATGATAAATTTGTCACAAATGTACCAATTTGGGGTTTTTCGTGGTATTAATACTTTATTTTTTATTTACCGCATTCCTGGATCTTTTATGAGTTTATTACTTTCTTCTTTCCTATTTCGATTTTAGGTTGCTGATGTTCTCGTAAAAATGTGCGGTCAAACCCAAGTAAGGATGTTTGACTAGTTATTAATATAATTCGACATCTAACTTCCAAAATTTTATCTATATACTATATCCTTCTTGGGATCGATTGATCATTCTTAGTGTCATTTTCACGTCTAAACTAAAATTTTATTTTAAGGCATCAATCATTCACTAGTATGTATTATCTAAGGAAAGCTAATCTTCCCTTCTAGAAGTTCAAACTCTGACCTCACTCATTATTTTGTTGGAATTTAAAACAACAGTGTATTTATCTTTGTGATCTTTAAAAAGAGATCATCATATCGCATCTATCTGACGTCTGATTCACGTGAATTTTGCGCCTTTGTAACGCTAGTGTCTAGAGCTTTCCAACGAGCCCAATATTGCTAGGCGAAATTACAAAATTACGGAATCGAGGTATCGAATCTTATCGCTGCCTAAAGCTTGGTAGGGGCGCTATTTCGGAGTCTAATCATTGTTAAAAGAATCATCATTTACCCTATCTTAGGGTCCAAAATGTTTCATGCGATTTCGAGACCTTTAAGTACGATTTTGTGCTCATCCAACATCTTTTGGAGCCGATTTTTGTTGCGTTCGAACACTTGAGATACCTAGATTCAAAATCTGCAATTAGAATCAACAAATCACAAATTTCCTAACAGTGCGAACAACGGGCAATCGTTCTTGAGGGGTTAGATATTAATTATTGGATTCGAGTGATAATATAGGTATCAAAAAACTATAGTTTTGACAAGTAGAATCCATTTTGGTGGTTTAAAATGTGTTTTTGGGACTTCTATATACTAGTCAATCTTTGGTCAACTTGCAATCAGCCTTAGGTCAAACTTAGTGATTTTTTAAAAAATAGGGGCAAAATATGAGGTGTCAACTCCCCTGTGATCAGTCGTCGGCTGCGGTTGAGTACCAGCTAAGGGTGTGCAAAAGAACCGGAAATCGTCCGAGACTGGATCAGAACCAGTTGTTCCTAAGGAAACCGGTCCGGTTCTCGGTTTCAGGTGTGGAACCGTCCGCCCGCCCAATCGGACCGGACCGGTAATATAATAATAAATATAATATATTTATTTAATTTTTATTTTTTAAAAAAGAAAAATCCTCAATCCCTAAATTAAACTTAAATGGCTCGACGCTCACAGTCTCACATTGAACCGAGAAACACCTTCTTTCGCTTTCGTCTCACGCTCACTCTCACTCTCTTATTCTTCTCAGTCGACACTCATCTCACTGTCTCCGACTCTCCATCTCCGTCTCCGTCTCTATCTCCATCTTTCCGTCTCTTTCCTTGGCTAGTGGGACCGGTTCTATGGACCCACCCGAGAATCGGACCAGCGGTCCGGTCCGATTCCTGGGTGGGTCCATGGAACTAACGTGCGATTCCCAGTTCTAATTTTTAGGAATCGGTCTTTAGTGGGCGGTTCCCGATTCTAGGGTGGGAATCGCCCACTCGCACCATGCTCACCCCTAGTACCAGCCACAGACAAAAGGAAAAGAAAAGGAAAAAAAAGGAAGAAAAAAAATCAGAATTTTTTTTCAAAAAAAATGCAAAAATTTCCACGTGAGTGCCGACTATGCCACATAGGATAGCTAGTGGCCAGCCGGCATCCACATCAGTTATTTTTGTCTAAAATTAATCGGAATGACTAAATTGGCAAGTTATCATAAGGTTTATGATTAAATTGATAAATTTTTAAAAGATTTAAGATTAAATTGGTAAATTATTAAAAATGTTTAGAACTAAATTAACACAATTAAAAGATTTATAACTTAATTGACCGTCATACCGTATGGTTAAACTTTTTGGACAATTATCCCAAATATAGTTGAGAAGTTTTCTTTTTACATGTAGCAGCTACTGCAATCACCGCGATAGTTAGTTCTACCTTTTAACTTTCAACGGTGATTATAGCAAACTTTACCAGCAACTGCTACAATCGCCCCTAGCACTTTTAGCGACAGCCTACAGTAGTGATTATGAATTCGAGGGTAAATCTTTCGGCGGCAATTATAATCGTCGCCGAAACTCTAAACAATTACTATTAATATTCAAATTAATTGTAGTGCCTCATCATCCCATGTCAGGAAAAAAATTGGAATTTCCTGTGGTGGCCAGGACACACGAACATTTATTCAATGATTTTAATGAGAATGCAGTTTTATGAGAATTTCAAACAAAATCATATTAAATGAAGGAAAGCTTCTTCGGTAATAGTTTGTAAGCGCATCGATAAGCTCGTACTGACCCATCAATTTGATATCAATTCGAAATACAAGCATATGTAAATGGTACACAGGACCTAATATGCCAATTCACACCCTGTTTCCTTCGACGCAGCGATGATATCAAATTGACGGGTGCACATTTAGACCAGTTGACCTAGGGGTGAGCATGGTCCGGTTGAGCGGTTTCCACTCTAGAACCGGAACCGCCCACTAATGATCGGTTTCGAAAAATTAGAATCAGAAACCGCTCGTTGGTTCCATAGACCCACCCGAGAATCGGACCGGCGGTCCAGTCCGGTTCCCGAGTGGGTCCATGGAACTGGTCTCACTAGCCAGGAACGGAGGCGGAATGACGGAGACGGAGAGTCAAAGACGGTGAGGTGAGCATCAACCGAGAAGAGTGAGAGAGTAAGAATGAGTGTGAGGTGAAGGCGAAAGAAGGTGTTTCTCGGTTCAATATGAGGCTGTGAACGTTGAGCAAATTATGTTTAGTTTAGGAGATTTTCTTTTTTTAAAAAATTAAAAATTTAAATGAAAATATATTATATTATTATATTACAGATCCAGTCCGAGTGGGCGGGTGGGTAGTTCCATGCTTGAAATCGGGAACTAGATCGGTTCCTAAGAATTGGAACCGAGAACCGGATAGATTCCCTTTGGAACCACCGGTTCCGGTCCGATTCCGGGCGATTCCGGGTGGTCCGAAAGGTTTTCGATTCTTTTGCACGGCCTAAGTTGACCATATTCAAAGGTGGATGTGTATGCTAGCTGTGAAAATCTGACTTAGGATAGCGTTGTTTTCTTTTTTAATTGGTTCCGTAGTAATGCCAGTTGGGGAAGTTGAGTAAACAAAACAAAGTGAGCAAGTCAAGAGAAGGTTGTCTATAAAATAAAGGGTTAATGTCACTAAAAATTTTAAACTTGTACACTTGTGACAATTTTACCCCAAACTAATATTTTACCACTAAAAACCCTAAATTGGTACATTTGTAACAAATTTACCTTCCGTTAGTTTTTATTAAATTGGATTAATATACAAAAAATCACAAACCGGTACATTTATGACAAACGAAGGGCCAAACATAAAACTTGCACATCAGTCAACTGCCATGTGTCATTTAACAAAACAATTTGACAGTAAAATTTAACGGAAACAAATTGAGGATAAAATTATCACAGATGTATTAGGTTGAGATTTTTTATGGTCAAAAAATTAGTTTTGAGTAAAATTGTCGCAGATGTACCAGTTTAGGATTTTTCATGGTATTAATTCTGGGCCGCGCTTTTCCCACTCCTAGTTTGGCTAAAACACTCCTAAATAAAGTATTGTGACCATTTTACCCATTATGGGTCCCACCTTTCAGCATCCTTTGCATTTTCGTAGTGTTCTTTCTTAGTTTTCTTCTTTTGCGAGTCCTGCTTTCCTTATCTTCATCCTTCCCTCTTTCTCTCTCCTTCTACTTTCTTTTTTTTTTTTTTTATGTTTGAGATAGTTTTTGCGTCGATTTTTCATGGTGGGTGCAGGATAAATTGAAAACAACGTGGCATCCTCTGGCGTGATAATGGTCGATTTTTCTTGTCTTATGTTTGACCAACCCACCACACACTTTGACAGTTACATAGATTCTTCTTTATCAATTCCTCCAATCATCTCCATTTTCCCTCGTCGTTCTCTTATTGTTTTTACATAATAAAATGAAATAGATAGCTAGATTTGCTCACTTACAAAAAAAAATATTTAAAGTTACAAAATTCACATAAAAATAAGCATAACGATAATTGAGCACATGCGTAGTGCGTGCGTGAATTCCAGTTATACTTATGTAGAATATGAAAACTCAATTAGATTTAGAAAATTCCTAATTGTCTCTGTTATCAGACATTGAGAAATTTTATATGTGATCAACAACATTTCTAATAGTATCAATAAAAGTAATAAAAATATTCTTAGAAAAATATTTGATAAGAAATATTACAAAATATGCTAGAATTCTAATTTGCAGCAATAGAACACATTAAAACCTACATTTTCTTATATTGAGCAAAGCTCGTGGTATCGAACGAGGTAGAGCATTAATCCTAATCGAAAGCAAAATGAATAAAGAGCATAAGAAAAACCAAAATGAATAATGAGCCAACAAACATGCGACCTTGCTGATAAAAGGGATCGAGGGTGGGGTCGGAGAGTATAAAGTTTGGGGTTCGCTCCCTGCGAGCACTGCATGCACATATACATAATAGAGAGGAGTGAGATCAAATTAGGATACGCATATACACAATAAAGAGGAGTGAGACGAAAGTAGAGTATTATTTAGGGTTAATATCACAAAAAACCCAAAACTGGTACACTCGTGAGAATTTTACCCCAAACTAATTTTTTAACCACAAAAAACCCAAACTGATACCTCTGTGACAATTTTACCCCAAACTAATATTTTGACCACTAAAAATCCCAAACTGGTACTTCTGTGACAAATTTACACTTCATTAGCTTTCGTTAAATTGGATTAATACCACAGAAAATCACAAATTTGTACACTTATGATAAACGGAGGGCAAAACATAAAATGACACATCAGTTAACCGCCGCGCGTCATTTAACAAAGCAATTTGACAGTAAAATTTAACCGGAACAATTGAGGGTAAATTTATCACGGGTGTACCAGTTTGGAATTTTTGGCTGTCAAAAAATTAATTTGAGATAAAATTATCGCAGGTATACAAGTTTGGAGTTTTTTATGATATTAACACTATTATTTGTGCGCTGATTCTTTTAAAACAATCCTCGAAGAGGGATATGTCGCGTGTTTATACGGATGGCCGGGTCGGGCGGGTCGGGCGCCTCGCAAGCGGGGTGATGGATAAGTTTGGGGGGCCCATCTATCGTCACAGCGACAGCCACGTCGCCACGTTATCCACCACAGCCGCCACAGGAAAAAGGACACAAAGCTGATTGCCAACCTGTCATGACCATTCAACCTTCTCCGCCAATCAACGTCCCACGAATTCTTTTCTCAGTCAACCAAGAATTCCCACTCTCCACATATTCTCTCTCTGTGGGAGCGACAATGGTGGGGCGGGCAACATGAGGAGAAGAAAACCAGTGTTATGCACCCCCCCATGGCCTCCCATTTCGCTTCCTCTGCCTTCTCGCCGACGCCGAACGCCGGCATTTGTCAGCTCCGGTCGCCGGGGAGGTCGCCGCCGCCGCCGCCTGCCGCGCTCTCCGTCCAGTGCAACCGCGGATCTCCGTACAGCACGCTCGTCTCTGAGGTATGCCCTGGCATTGTCAATAGCAGCATAGCCAAGCCATCATTACTGCGTTTTTTTATTGGAGGATTGAGTTTGTGGGTTTTTGACGGAGTAGTTGTTTTGGATACTCGCATTGTGGTTTGGTTGAGTAAATTTGGACAGTCAAAAGGAATTTGCGCTGCTCCGTGGTGTGGGAGAATGGTTTTTTATGGTGAAAATGCCTCCTGCATTTTGGACGCTGTAGTGTAATCAATCGTCTTGATCATTGTTTAGTCCTGCAATCAGTGAGTGAGCTACTTGGAATGATTCGTCGCATTGTTCTTCGCTTGGACTTTTAAAAATTTGAACTTGGAGGTGCATTGATGTGTTTGTGTATGCATGAATACACGCACACACACACACTCATCACTCACCCTTGCGGAAGTATTTCTACCACTTCAGATCTTAAAATAATTGACTGATCTGTAATAGGCTGCTGATTAGCTGGTTTATTATGTCTTCTATGGTTAATTATAACTACATGTTGCTCCATTCAAAATTGGGAATTCACCTGTTTCCTTGCCTGTTCTGAGTCTGGGTATCCTTCTTCCCTCTGCTCGAGACATGTGATGCTTTAACCATCCTCGCAAATGGGAATTTGGGATGTTCTCGAATTGCATATTTGTTTAGGCACGAATGTCACTTTCATTGCTTTGTCTTGAGGCTTTAGTTGGTTATTTCCACAAGGACAGAAACGCATTGCTAACTGTGGTAGAATTTTCTTCTCGTGACCCCACAACCCTTCTTTCCTTTCGTTCTGATATTCTCTGAGTTCGTAGGCCGTTAGGCTTTTGGTCCCTCCAGCAAGATTTGAAGCTTCAAAGTTAAAAGTTGATTTTACGGTAGGAGAGTCTGATAATTATTCTGGAATCATCCCAAGAACTTACATCTTATCTCACTGTGACTTCACCGCCAATCTGACTTTGACCATCTCCAATGTCATCAGTCTTGATCAGGTATATACTTTCCCTTTGCAAATATTTTTTACCTCTCCTGTCTCGGCAACAGAACAAACACAATCCAGACGATTATCATCAGAATTTTCGTTGAATGTGACACTTAGACATTTTCAACATCTATTGAAAACTTTTAATTGTTAACTGAATTGCATTTCAATGAGCTCGATTATGCTTGCCTTGGTGCCAGTTAAGAGGATGGTACGAAAAGGATGATGTGGTTGCTGAGTGGAAGTCAGTCAACAAGGAGATGTGTCTGCACATTCATTGCTTTGTTAGTGGTCCAAATCCCTTGTTAGACCTTGCTGCTGAGTTTAGATACCACATTTTCTCCAAGGAGATGCCTCTGGTAATTATCTACTCTGTGTTCACCTCTAAATGATTTGCATATCATGCTAAATCGTTTACAATCACAAGAAAATGCATATGAGAATTATTTGTATACATCGATGACTTTTTTTCCTCGGCCACGTGTGCATGAAAATGCTTATATATTTTTTTTCCTTTCAGAGAGATTTTGTTCTTTTTAAACAGTAGTATACATAGATAACGTTTAATTTCAGGATGACAATGAACAGGATATCCCTTTCCATTTGAATTAGGTACTCGAAGCCGTGTTGCATGGGGATGCATTACTTTTCAGAGATCATCCAGAGCTAATGGATTCTCCAGTATGGGTTTACTTCCATTCGAGTTCTCAAAAGTACAACCGCATTGAATGCTGGGGGCCTCTCAAGGATGCTGCACGGGTAATATTTTTATACTTTCTCATCCCTGCTTTTACCATTAGTATATCTGCATTCTGATCGGTCGGAGACATGCATCTGTTTGGAGTGATATAGTGGCATCAGGTTTAGGTTTTCACGTTTCATATTGCGCAGAAGCATTGTCCAGTGCAGATTGGAGGAAATAATCAATTATTGTCCAAAATCTGTTTACCCTGAAATCTCAGGCTCATTAGGCACCACCCAATGAGCTTGTGCTTTGGTGTTTTTGTGCAGTGGTCAAAGTTTTGAATTTCAGCCTTTTTTATGTTAGTTCTTTATAAGCAATTCAAAGTTTGAAACAGTCCTTATTGCTCTTCTGGAGGGGAATGACACTGCACGTCTTCTATCTTTTGCCCTCTATATTCGTCATTCTCTCCATTTGACGGATTAGTTTTAAGGCCTTTTATTGACAAAACTTGTAAAGGATTTTTGGCCTCTGAATGTTGTGTACTTTTGGCCATCTATTGTGGAAAACAGAGAGAACAAATTCAAGGATTTTTGACGGGAAGCAATGATGATTCCCCTGTGCCTAGAAAGTGGAGAGGCCCTAAATCAATCTTCCAAGCTCTCTTTGCCTTCCTTCTGTAAATGTGCAGGCAGCACAGTGCCAATGGCCCCCTCTAAGAGCCCGACTCAATTTTCACACATCGAGCAGAGGATGACTCAGCTGATTGGTAACATTGCGGAGAAACTTCATTGAAGATATAAAGGTCAGACGGCATTTGACAATGATTATTTGATCCTGATTCATTTTCAGTTAACTCGTTCAATTTGCTGGAAATGTTGAAAATCTGGTGCAATTGTCACCCATTTATTTCATTTTCTTAGGCCAGCAGTTGAATGTATTTCTTGCTTAAAGAATGTACAAAAAAGAATGACTAGATTCCCAATCTGCCCCTCAAATCATGAATGCAGAGTTTCAAATTTGTGGTGGTTTGCGTACTTTACCCCGAGCCCTAAAAAAAAAAAAAAGAATAACTAGATTCCCAATCTGAAATCATGAATGCAGAATTTCAAATTTGTTGTTTTGGTGCGTTTATCCCCCTTATCTTTTGGTGTGGAGCTGGAGCTGGAGGTACGTGGGATTGTTGCTTGAATTAAGGGTAATGAGCTCCTGTAAACTGGACCTGTTATCTGCCAGTTTTCTCATCAGCTCAGCCTTGTTGGTCCAATCCCCGTTTGGTTCAGCCTTGTCCTCAATGACAAGGACACTTTAGTTATTGGAGTTGGGCTCTTGAGGGGCAATGTCCCAGTTTAGAAAATTGGAGAATTAAGAGGTGTGACAACATGTATTCGGGATATTCAAAGAAGTTGGTCATATTCAAGTACTCAATCTGAGACATCATTTTGTACATTAATTAAGGGATTAACCTTAGTAACTCTACAATTATTAACAAACGAGTAAGATCAAGATTCAAGCTTTTTTACGGCAAAGCATTTTTCTAAAAATATTTACTGGCTTTCAGAGGGATAATTAACCAAAAAGTCCTAAATCTATTGAACGGCAGCCGATTCAGTCATAAACTTTCCAATTGTACCAATTTAGTCATAAATATATTGTACGGCGGCAAATTCAATCCTAAACATTTCAATTATGATAATTTAGTCATAAACATTTTGACAATTTGTCAATTTAGTCTTAAATCTTTTAACGATTTGACAATGTAGTCATTCTGGATAATTTTAGCCAGAAATCGTTGAAGGACTACATTGGCAAATCATTAAAAGGTTTAGGACTAAATTAGCAAATCATCAAAAGGTTTAAGACTAAATTGACACAATTGAAATATTTTAGGATTGAATTGGTTGCCTTACTGTGGGTTTAGAACTTATTGGGCAATTTTCTTGGCTTTCGAAACAAAATAGTCTTGATATTGATCAAGACAACTCTAAGAAAGTGATTAAGTGGTAAGTGTGTTCGATCTCCTTGCAAGACTTGAGTTTGAATTGCCACACTTGCGTATCCCAGGCCACACCAAGAGCACCTACTTGTGTATCTCGAGCACTTTTTGGTGGGAATTAAGCGGGTGCTCAAAAGTCCCAAACACCTCATTCATATTTTAAAAAGAAAGTGTCATGGAGAGATGGTATAAAATATAAATCATAGATTTTTGGAATAAAGCCCATTTAAAATGAGTAAAAACATATATAAGTGGACTATTAATCTTGAGGTAGACATCTTGTCACCATACAAAAGACAAAATACACATCAGAGTCCTACGTGTACAGTAACTCTTAACTGATCAGCTCACAACGAAATTAACATCGCCTCCAACATCAATGCAATAACTTTTACTTTTCTTGCCGCCGGCCACGGTAAAGAATCCATATCCCACGTCATGCTAATAATCCAAGCAAAATTACATCTCTCTAATCATATTCTCAAAATGGTTTCCACTGAGCATGACCTAAAAAGAACAATTTGAGGAGCAAAGTCAACGTGCAAAATTATGTGGACTTCAAAGACGTGCTTCTGCCATCCCAAGTATAAAGTTCCTATAACGATAACGAAACTAAATCAAAATGAGAAGATACAATGAAATGAAAGAAGATTATATATGTCCACAAGTGCTATTACTTCGTTCATATGTGCGCCCTGTGCCTCGACTTTGGTATTCAATGTGCCTATCAATCTCGACCCATCCATTTATTGGTGAAATGCACGATCTCATTCACATCTTAGTTGTAATTAATGAATCGTAGCTGTGTCGAGATTGAAGTCCGATTCTTTTTTTGTTTTCTCACACGTAATTTTTTGCTACACGAGACTTTCGCCCGTAGAAGTCGACGGAGAACTGACGATTTGTTTGGGGACAAGGGGAGGGCGGAAAATAAGAGATGGAATGTTTTGTGAAAAGTGGGGGAGAAAAACCTAATTCCCTTCTATCATTTGATTGATCTCTCTTGATGGCTGAAACTATGCCGGTCGATTTTAGCCCTCATAAAATGTACTTTTGAAAAAGAAAGAAGAAGAAGGCCCAGCATTAAAGGAAATGGGTGGGGTGAGAACGTTTAGTTTTAGGTGTAGAGTTTGATTCCAACGCTTTATTAAAAAGCATAATAAAAGTGAGAGAGAGAGAGAGAGAAGAGATAGATTAAGAACGAAGAAGAAGAAGAAGAACAAAAGCTAGTTATTCTTGTGTTAAGAAATTACTCCTCTCTTTCCTTTCAATAAAACTCCTACTACCAATAAAAGTAAAAGTCACAAAAAACTATAAATTATGCCCACTATGACATATTCACTCTAAACTTTTTTCTGAGATACCAAAAATCATAAACTTGTACTTATATGATATATTTACTCTCCGTCAAGATTTTGTCAATAAACACCGTTAAAAATTTGCCTATTTGAACGCTGGAAAGCTCGATGTTGACATAATGTCCATATGACTTAAATGAAATAAAAATAACGTTATTTTGGTTGAAAAATCATTTAAAGAAATGAGGATAAATTTGTCATATAAGTACAAATTTGGGATTTTTTTTTATGTTACAACAAAAAGTTTAGGAAAAATATGTGTCATAATGGGCATATTTATCATATTTTAGGATTTTTTATGTTACAAAAACTTCATTATTAATATAAAGGAATATGCTTGCATGTGCCCTCGATTCTCGTATGTTCCAATATTTCTTTGATTATGGATTAGAAAATTAAACATTAAACTATACCTTCATATAACATTATAATCTTTTCAAACGGTTAGCAATAATCCCACAAAATTTTAAATGGTACTAGAGAAGATTGACCCGAGTTCGAATCTCTCCACACCCCTTGGACAAACATATCTTAAATACCCATTATTTCCAAAACATCCATTTTCTTTGCTTCTTAAATACCCATTATTTCCATAACATCCATTATTTATTAATTGTACAATATTGCTTTTAACTCTCTCAAATTTAAACACATCAATTATTAAAGTTTAACACATAACAATAAATCCATAACATAGTTAAAATTCTGGCATCATCTAGACGGAATCTCTCACTCTCTCACTCTGTCGGAAGTTCTCTACCACACACCACTCTCTAGAAAAAACCGTTGACTCAAACCCTTGTTTTGGGCTGCAATTATATGACGAATAGAAGACATTAGTTAGTTCATCAATAAAAAAGAAAAAAAAAAGGGTCATTTCGGCTGACCGGCTGTGGAAAACACGACTTGTAAACGAGCATCATGCGTTGAAACTTTTGTGACACAACCTGCAATTGCACGCATTACCGATTTATCCGACGGTCCAGTGAACATTGACTTCTGTAATAAAGAAGGAAAAAAGAATATTTTGTTATGTCCGGGGTACACTTCTCGCCATCATATCAAGAGAACGTAACGATAAGCATCAATGCAACCTCGTTTTCGCAGGAATTTTCTGTTTCGGTCCCGTTATGGCGGCTCGTCCAACGTTAAACCGAGTGAGTTGACTGTTGAGCGATGATATCTTAATAAAATTAAGTCTCTAGCTGACACACATAAGTTTAATCCTCGTTGCAATCACATATTAGTATTACCTCGATCCATTTCTAAGCCTAACTTTTGTCTCTCCCTAGGCGTAGCTTCTTACTCGCATCCTTCACCGCGTCGGGCGTCTTCTATAAAACATTCATACGAAGATGGAAAGATGGAAACATCCCAAGCCCTTCGCTCATGTGAATCGCGTAAGTAATCAAGCAGAGAACAACGATGAGTCCACGAGGATCGCCAGATGCCATGAATATCCAGAGGCCGCGTAGCTGCGTTGTCCTCCCGAGAAGAGGATCCGTCGAGCGAAGGATCGTCGCTGGCTTCATCCGCGGCATTAAATTCATCGCCGGTAAGATGAGTCGCCTCCTTCGACGCGACCGCAGAGGACACCCCTAGTCGACACCGTCGCACTTTTATTACAAGCCATGAATAATGTGTGAGCCCTTAATTTCCATTTTGGTGTGTATTTTCCTGCTCTCTGTCTTTGCAAGGGCCGGGAAAATGTTTCGCGAGCAAACCTGAAAGAGATTGCGATATTATTCCATGGACATGACAAAGTTTGAGCTCAGTCCGTGTTAATAGTCCTCGGACCATTTGAACTTCGAGTGAGATTCACTTCATCGGTAAGGGCACGTAAAAATGAAAAGGATCGCAAGTGTGGGCTCCAAAGATAATCTCTCGAAATGAATGGTTCTTGGTGAATGTGCATGAGCTTTCGGCACGCAAGGGGAAAAGTGTCAGAAAAATCCTAAACCTATTACTTTGATGCCAATTTAGTCTTAAATCTTTTAATGGTGCCAATTTAGTCCTAAATCATTTGACTTAGTGCCAATGCAGCCATTCTAGCTAATCTTAACTGGATATTGCTGACGTGGACGCCGCCGATCTACGTGGATAATTTTTAATAATATTTTAATATTTTTTCAATTTATTTATTTATTATTTTCCTTTTCCTTTTCTTTCTTTTTCTTTTTCTTTTTTTTTCCCCATTCTCTTCCTTCTTCCTCCAACCGGTTGCCGGACCTTGTGGGCCACTAGTGAGGCTTGCCCTCGCTGGCCATGGGCGAGGGCTTGAGCCTCGCCTTTACGGCCATCTAGTGAGGTCGAGCCTCGCCAATGGCTAGTGAGGGCAACCTCGTTGGCCCTGGCCTCTGGCTGGTAGCCGAGATCCGATGATTGGCTAGAGGAAGAAGGAAGGGAAGGAAAAAAAAAGGAAAAAGAAAAGAAAATTAGATAAATAAATAATTTGAAAGATATTAAAATATTATTAACAGTTGTTCACATCAGCAATATCCGGTCAAAATTAGCCGGAAGAACTAGATTGGCGCTGAATCAAAAGGTTTATGACTAAATTGACACCATTAAAATATTTATGACTAAATTGGCACTAACGCAATGAGTTTAGGACTTTTCTAACACTTCTCCCCCCATGCGAGATATAGCTTAGTTTGCACAAGAGGTAACTAG